TTTGGGATTTGTGTGGATTAACCAGCAGATTTGCCCCATGTGATAACACCCTAGGAATGGTTGACCAAAATGTGGGTAAAGGTCAGAAGAAGGGATCTCTCTTCTTTTCTTTTGTTGCTTCATTTTTGCTGTCTAAGTGTTTTCTAAAGCCCAGAGGGGGCTGCATGTTCCCAGCACATAGACTAATCTGAAGGTTTATGGGCAGGAATTAATCATGAGCCCTCAGGAAAAATCTGTTGAGCTGTTGCCTGAAGGATTTGGTGAGGGAGAGGAAAGTTCAGGAGAGGTGGGAGACAGAGGAGATAATGGAGAAGTCATCACATCAGCATCAATCAGCTTGGAAAAATAAAATTTATGAAACAATGATACTCTTATTGGGACAACTAAAATCCACAAAATACATCATGCTGTCATAGTTCCCTTATGGAAATAAGAAGCCAGGTGGCCAGTTACTGCACTTTGCTCCCCCCCCTTCTTCCTCAGGAGGAAAATGCTGCAAAAAGCTACACAAAGCCAGTAGCAAAAATGTTGAAAGAAGCAGAAATGGTGGAAAGCAAATAATGGAGACTATCGCTTGGCTTTTTAAACCAGTCTACCTCTATCTGGCTTAATCTTAATTCGGGCAGCATCCTGATCTTTCCAGATGTTTTTTGCCACCAAATTTGCCGCCTGAATACAGCCTGGGTCCATCCCCGCTTCTAGAAATGCTCCTCGCAGCCATTTTCTTAAGCTGGAAAACTCTCTGATCCGAAAAGAGCCATGAGGAGTGCTCCTGGAAGCAGAGATGCACCCCAGCTGTATTCGGGCAGCAAATTTGGCGGCAAAAAGGTCATTATGATTAAGCCAGATAGAGGTAAACCGATTTTAAAAGCCAAGTGATAAGCTCAATGTAGATTGTTTATTTTTCCTTTCATCATCCTGCCTTTTCTCCAAATACTTGAACACACGCACACCCTTGAACCAAATGTAATGTGAGAGCCATTATTGCTCACCTATGCGTCAATAGGCTTGGCATGTTTTTGAAGTGCTTCAATATGCTGAAAAGCCTCTTTGATCAGAGATAAGGGGTGGGAGGAAGAGAACCCAAACATGTATGTTGTCCACCCCCTGGCCCATGTGAGCTCTCTGTCACTGTACTATAACAACCCCTGGCTTAAACCCCATGAGTCCAATCTACCTCCCTGTGAACTCAGTGGTAAATAGCCATCAAAGTGTAATTGCTTATATGGCCCATTAAGCTTACTGGTTAATACAGATGAAACATTATGGCTCTGCCAGGTTCTGTTCCTGAACGCTTCTTCCAGTGCTGTGAAACCTCCACAGATCAGAGCAGATCAGGATGGGACCCCCTGGGACTCCAGTTCCTCTTTTGTTTGGAAATGACTGGCCTTCCCCACCCCTGCAAAAGGATGACAGGACATGCAGTGCTCCTAATCACAGGGCAGGCACCATGGCTGTTTAGGTCCATTGTTCTTGCCCTGGCTCTTCATGGGATAGAATGGGACCACATGAGAAAACATTGTTCAGAACAATGTCAGATCTGCCAGAGGAGAAATCCCAACTCTCGAGTGACTTCATTAGCTTGAGCGCCTCCAGTCAGTTCAAGTCACCACACTTCATTATCTCACGTCGGACTGACTTTCCCTTGCGTCCTTTTGCATGCAGGAACCTCATTATCTGAGAATATGGAGCCCATCAAGGTTCTGTTAACTTTAACTCTTCAAACTTCTTTTTATCTTTTGTTTTGTCAGAGGTCTCCCCTTTAACCTGACTGGGCTGCAGGTGGGGAATGTGTAAGGAAAATAATTTCCCCTTAAATGCAGAAGCTCAGTTTGCTCAACCCAACACTCCAAGACACTGTTCCGAAAGCGGGATGATTTTGGTTTGTTTGCAATATATTTTATTCAGCAAGAATGTTTTGCAAAATGCTTTTTACTTTGAGAAAAATCATAAGTGTTACTGGAAGTTATTGCCTCACCAACCCACCCATCCCACCCCACCCCACCCCACCCCCAGCACTATCAGAAAATTGCTTGTAGCAATTCACTCTTATTGTATGGAGGATAGCCTACAAAGGCAACTGGGAGCACAGTTTTGGCTGAGGAATGTCTCCCCTCCAGCATGTTTCAGATAATGTATGATTATTCTTAGTAAGCATCTCTATTCTGAAGAAAGAGTGAAAGTGATAGTTCTTGACAAGCAAAAGGGTATTTGTACATAAAGCACTATGCATCTTAATAACCCCCAAAGCTGTTGCTTGTAAAACATGGGGCCAGGATGCCTGTCAGACCCCGTTTGCAGATGGCGCTTTGTGCCATCTAGGAGGTAAGGAAGGGGAGGGGCAGCATCATGTCAGGCACCCCAATCCCTTCCCAAACACGTCATCGGAGCACCCATCACTCCACACGACGGGCGCTCCGATGACGTCCTTCCACCGCAGTGTCTGGACACGCTGTGACGGAAGAGATGCCAAAGAGGTGCCCAATGCCTCTTGCAGTGCACCTTCCGCACCTTGTGGAAGGAGCGCTATTTTAGCACTCCTTCCAGGGCCCAAAAAGAAGTGGATCGGGGCTGAGGAATGTGGCTACCTCAGCCCCAATCCGCGGCTTCTCGGGGCAGCTCACGGCCGCCCGTCTGCTTAGGGCCAGAGTCACCCACCAGGTTCTCTCAGTTATGTTAAAGTTAGTCTTGCTTGTGCTATGCTGTAGCCATAAGGAGCCAGTGTGGTGTAGTGGTTTAAGCATTGCACTATGACTGGAGACCAGGGTTTGAATCCCAGCCCAGCCATGGAAACCCACTGGGTAAGCTTGGGCAAATCACTCTCTCTCCCAGCCTCAGAGGATGGCAATGGCAAACCCCCTCTTAAGAAACTCCCCACCCCATCCCCCAAAAAGCATGATAAGTTTGCTTTAGGATCACCATAAGTCAAAAATTACTTGAAGGCACACAAAAACAACAACAAAGTAATACTAGAAGGGGCCTAGTGTTGGGGTGGGGGGATACTGACAGAGACAGTAAAAGCAAAGGTCATTCAGCCTGGGAAAGAACTGTGGGCAGTTGGGAGAGACAACGCTTGTGAGGGGTTTTAATAGTGAAATGGATGTTTGAATGCCAGTTCTAGCAAAAGACATGTTACTGTGCTGAACTTCTTCAATAATCTAGCTCCAGAAATGATGCCACCAAGAACGATTTGTATTCTTGGACCATGGCCTGTGGTTTCATGGGAGGTGACTTCTGGCAAGGGATAGGTTTCACCTCACACCAGCTGGCAGAAACGTTTTTGCCAGCATAAACAAAACATTGATAAAGAGGGCTTTAAATTATGTGGGTGAAGGAGACAGTATTCTGGAGGGCAGGAGTTCATCAAGGGCTGGAGATAATAGGGACATGGTCCATGATCTTAGATGTCTCTATTCTAATGCCCAGAATATGGGAAATAAACAAGATGAACTTGAACTTCTAGCACAGCAAACCAAATACGATATAATAGGCCTCACTGAAACCTGGTGAGATGAATCTCATGATTGGAATGTAGGAACAGAGGAGTATAGCCTTTTATGAAAAATAGGTCAAACAGAAAGGGGGGAGGAGTTGCATTAAATATCAAGGATGTATACACTTGTGAAGAGATCCAGGACTTAAAATTCTGGAAGCCAGGTGGAAAACATCAGAATAATAAAAAAAAAATTCCTACACTTTATTGAGACAAACAAACAAAACATCCAATACCAAACAAACATATCTTGTGCATCTATCAGCGTTTTCATATATATTGGAAAGAAAAAGAAATTTGTAAACATAACATTTCATCTTCCTTATCTATTTCTTCTTTCTTATTTTCTTTTCTTCATTTCTTTCTTTCTATATTAAAAGTCTTCTATTTTACAGTGTATTTATAGCACACAACATACATATATCTTACAGATAACATTCTTACTTCCCCATTGGAAATATATATTTACTGTTATTGGCTTTATCTTATCTTCTTCTCATGATTTCTTTTTGGCTTAACCATCCTTTCTCCAACTATCCTTTATCTATTGTTTTATATATATATATATATATATATATTCCCCCATTTCTTTAATTCTTATTCCTCTTTATTCACTATATATTCTCTATGCAAATATCTATGTAAACTGACATTTTTTCTTTTTTTCCTTTTTTTCCTTTCCCCCCACATCTCTTTTATATTTTATTTTGTTATATTTTATTATATCAGTTTACCCAAAGAAAATTAATTCTGTTCCAACCCTTCTTTCTTTCTGTTATTAACTTTCCATTAAAAATATGTGTAAGGATGTCCATTTCATACAATTCGTATAATTTTAATATCCAATCTTCCACATCTGATTCTAAAGGTGATTTCCAATATTTAGCTATAATAAGTCTTGCAGCTGTAATCACGTTAAATAATATTTTCCAATTTTTTTATTCTATTGGTTTATCTAAGCCAGGGGTAGGCAACCTAAGGCCCGGGGGCTGGATGCGGCCTGCCGAGACCTTTGGACCGGCCCCAGGCCGGTCTTGCCACCGCTGTCCGCCATCATGATATTGATTATTGTTATTATTACTTGTTCTTAGGGTTTTCTTGGCAAAATCTCCACAGGGGTTTTGCTATGGCTTTTCTGGAGCTGAGAGAGTGTGCATGCATATTTTTAATTAAAAAAATTAAAAAATTAATTTTTATATTTATTTATTTATTTATTTATTTATTTATTTTTGGTGCTTCGGCCCCCCAATTGTCCGAGGAACAGCAACCTGACCCCCAGCTCAAAAAGGTTGCCTACCCCTGATCTAAGCTATTAAGAATGTTTAGTAGATATATCTCTGGTTTCATGGTGAAGTTAATTTTAAAAAGTGTCTGTGATATTTTTGATGTATTTTTTTCCAAAATTTTTGGATTTCTTTGCATGTGATATAGCATCCCTTTACTTAAATTGCATCTCCAACATATTCCAGGTGATTTTTTAGAAATGTTTGCAATTTTTTCTGGAGTTAGGTACCATCTTAGATACATTTTATAGTAGTTTTCTTTTAATATGTTGCTATATGAAAATTATAAATATTTTATCCAAGCTTTCTCCCAATCCTCTAATTGAATATTTTTGCCTATATTTTGTGCCCATGTAATCATCTGAGGCTTTATCATCTCTTGTTCCATATCTAATTTTAATAAAATTTGATAAATTTTGGCTAGTGTTTTTCTTTTATTGGATTGTACTTATCAAATTAATTTTTCAGTCTTTCAAAGCTATAATTTTTTTTCTTTTTTAAATCTTTCATTTAGGGCCTTTACAGACTGCCAGAAATAATGCAGCTTGAGGCCACTTTAACTGTCCTGGCTCAGTGCTAAGGAATCATGGTAACTGTAGTTTATTGTGGCACCAGAGCTCTCTGACAGTCCTCAATGTCCTAGAAAAAAATACAATTCCCATTATTCCCTAGCACTGAGCCAGGACGCTTACAGTGGCTTCAGGATGCATTATTTCTGGCAGTCTGTAAATCTTCCTTCTATTTTAATTTCCACTTATCCTCCTTATTTATTATTAGTTCTTTATAACGTACCCACCCTTTATCACACATTGTCTCTCTTTTCATAAATGCTTCGTATGGGGATTCCCACAAAGGCATTTTAGGATATAATTTGTCTCTGTAGTTTAGCCAATTTTGAAGGAGAGATTCCCTTATCAAGTGATCAGGGCTGTGCAGACAGGCAGGAAAAAGTGACCTGAAGTTGCCTTTTCCCCAAACTGCAGCAACCTCATCACCTGCCTTGAGGATGCCCTAAGTGGGGACGGAGAAACCACACTGGGAGACAGTTAATGCAGCTTTTCTGAGGCTGCAGTGAAGCCTCATCACCAGCACTGCCCGCCCTGAGGTTTCCCTAAATAGGAATGGAGTAACTTCACTGGCCAGCAGTGGCGGCTTTCTTTTTTTTTTTCGTGGTCTCTGTGGTGCATGCGCACGTGCGCAGGCACAACACGGCCCCTTTAACAGAAATGTTGGCATTGCTAAGGACCTGTGCACTCATGGATCATGGATGCCACAGCAATCGAGTGGTCCACACTGGTACTCAACCTGCAATGCACGGCCACAGGAGCATCTGCCATGGTTCCTGCTTCAGGTGCATTCATGCAAGACTGCAGTGATGACTTGGAGGACCCAGAAGTGAGACCTGGTAGACTGGGTGCCGCAAGACACATCGCGCAGTGTACTGCCACCGCTGCTGCTCTGATGCCACCCAAGAGAGCCCCCCGCTACTGGTGGATGTTCCCCAGAAGCACCGACTGGTGGGACAGGTTCGTCACATACATCTAGTCCGATGAGTAATGGAGGATGTTCTTCCGGATGCCTTGTGCCCTCTTCTACAAGATAATAGAAGTACTGCATCCGCAAATGCAGTGGGCAGACACCATGATGAGGAAGGTCATCTCAGTGGAGAAGAGGGTCACCATGGCCATCTGCATCCTCGCCCACAGAGCCAGCTACAGACAGGCATCAGAGCAGTTTGGGGTCGGCCAAACTACTGTGGGGGAAGTATTGAGGGAGTTCGCCCTCACCATGGAGAAGCTGCTGCTGTCACAGACAGTGTACCTGGGAGATGTTGCTCAGGTAAGGACAGTCGCACACACTTGTCACTTTTCCCTCTTGCACAGGATGCGTCATGACCTGGCATACAGTGTGGCTGTCACTGCATAGATTTGACTGCTAGGGCTGTTGAACCTGTGCAGGTACGCCTATTATGTCATGACCTGGCATACAGTGTGGCTCCTAC